GGCGAGGGTCGAGAATCAGTTCTATTATTCTGGGTTTTCTTTGGGAACAATAATAGGAACTCGATCGCATATTTGGTTGTTAATTGTGTTTATTCGTGGTTTACAGCGAGAATCGTAGAATTTGGTATCTGGATACAGCGTATGCACCTATTCGGTATAGTTTAGGGATCTCACGTAGTGACATTGTAGGCCAGCTGTTCACTACAGAAACAATGGTAGTGTCAGCTTCTTTCGGCTCCGATACGTCGGCAGCAATCACAGCACTATGCACTCCTTCAGCTGGTGCTGATCCCGTTCCAGCTGACCCACAAATGCAACACAAAATAAGCATTTGCAGAATCCTAAAACAATTGTCGAGTTTTGTAGGTGAGGCTATCCAGCAAGCCTTAAAGTGTCGGGCCCAGCCTGCAAGTGCGGAAAAATGAAATTGTTTTCAGGAGCGGCTCCCAGCTACAGGTACGCAGAGAGGAAGGCAAGTATATCGAATACCGATCGGATGTTACATAGAGAGATATAGGGGCATCTTTACGTTGTTACAGAGAGGCTACCGCCGAATAGTTGATCGCGGCCTACCTTTATCCTGCACAACCACGCTGCTCCATGTCGCTGCCATAGAGCACATGAAGGTCCACAGATGCTCCCGATAGAAATGATTCGCGCAGGAGATCCTCAGAAACCCGCGAGGGTTGTCTGTCTCCTGGTCACATAACGTAATATTCCCGTTTTTGGTGGCCCTGCGAATTGCTGCACGAGCGTCCAAGACTTTGGCCTCCTCCTTGTTCATCCCTGCAAAAATTTTGCTGCCCTTTTGCTGGGCTGTTTCAGAGAGATTTCGCTGCTTTTCTGAGCTTTCTTAGAGGAGAAACTGCTGTAGGACGACACCTCCACGTTCGAGGAAGTCGACGATGTCGGCCAGGGCAATTAACTTGAAAACAAAGAAAGAAGGATCCACCCGGCCCACGATCAGCCACTGCTACTATGTTGAAAGTGACCGCGTTTCTCGAGGTTTCTTGCGTGGCATTCCTGTGCTTCCTTCATGCATTTCCTCTCTGTGGGGAGCTCCACGCGTACTGGACTGGACTCCATCAGCCAGATCTAAGATCCGGTCGGTCGGAGAACTTCTCTGGGTGTAGACAACGGATGCAGGGAAGCAACGACTCGAAGCGTGCACTGCTGTAGTATAAACCCATTCCAACCAAAGGAGGAAGACAAGCTACCTTGATTAGTTTTCCTGAGTATAATACTGTAAATACCGCAGAAGCGTGCTGCTGATGTGCTGTGTTTTGCCGTCTGCCTCTGGGTATCTCGCAGTTTTTATCCTGTGTTCTGTATTAAGCCGCTTCATGAGTTCGCGCCGGAAAGAGCTGGCGAACTTAGGGCACCTGTCAGTAATGACGCTTCTCCCGGACCAGTGAAGCTTCCAGAAGAGGCAAATGAATACTTAACTTCTCCCACTACTGTAACTGGACTCGGGGAGGAGTTGAAGTGGGCGTGGGCGAGTGCGTTACTCTATCCACGACGCTGTAGATGCTAACACAGCCTCTGACTTACTGATGGTAAACTCACTGTGAATGCCGTCGGCCTATCTGTCCGGATGCCTTCGGGCGTAGGGAAGCTCTACAAGAGGCCAGGTTTGTGAGTGTTCGGTGGTTTCTGCTGTTGGCATTCAGGGCAAGTAGGGGAATATTCTTGTGCAGAGGGGCGAGCCGTAAGCCACCAAAAAGCCGCTCACGTTACTTTGGTGCTGGCCCCACTACGACCCGCTAAAGCATAACCGTGCATTTTGCAAAAACTTTCTGTGCAAAGAAAAGCAGGAATGTACAGGTGGAGTGAACAGCGCTCTGCTGCTACTACGTATCTGCCTGACGCATACCTACTAGGCGCACGCTCAATATGTTATGGCTATACTGTGCGAATAATCCTTAATTTAACCCAAATTCCCAAATGACAGACTTTTATGCATGTCCAAGTCCATTTTTTGTAAAGCAGGGGGAGTAATAGTAATTCTGCTGTTCATGCAGGCCCCTTACGGTCCAACGCGTCGATTACAGTGCCAGTCTCGCATCCAGCCAGCCCCAGACCCTGGGTAGCTGCCGACAATCCTTAGACTGATGGTCTTATTTCCCGTCTAAAGTGACTTCATTTATTTCTACTGAAATATTAATTGTACACGCTCTGCCGGATTGACCTCTGCAGGTTCAGTTTGCTTACCGTTGTAATGCGTGCGCACTACAACTAAGGACAAAGGCAGGCGTTTGATGGTGGCGTTTGGCGGCTGCAGCTTTATTACCTGTACAAATACGTTGTTTAACATTCGTAAGGGGATCCCTTAGAGCGGCAGCGATGTGCACGAATCCAGGGGTGACGCAAAACGATGCAAGACCGGGGAACTTTTGGACTTCCGCTCTCACAGATCCTGAGCAGTTAATCTTTTGCTTGCTGCTCATGCAGAGAATGAGTTTCTTAGGGTTTTGTGTATCTGAAAAAGCGTATAATTGTGTGATATTGGGAGCCACCGATTTTTACGTACCCGTTCTGCAGGTGCTCCAGCGCATTCCGATAGAACGCAACCACGTCGTCCATCTATCTAACCATGTATCCCTCATGGACTGGCCCTAAGAAGTCGCGAGTAGCTCGTCGCTGCAGTTCGGCAGGTGCATTCACAATCGAATGGCATACACGTACACTTTTATATGGGAGCGCGGGTAGGGAACGCAGTCGCCTACTTGATGTTTTGCGACCTGCAACAGCGGAATGCGAAGTCAATTGATGAATAGACTGCTGAAACCTACAACTGGTCAAGTAGTTTGTCGGCCCTGGACATCGGAAGCTTTCGTTTAATCTCATTTTGTTGAGGAATGCGCCACCTCCCGTTCCTTGTCTTCGTCAGTATGTAATACGCTCAAGAGCATTAGTTGACGGCTAAAGTTTGCCTTTTCTTATCATTGCGTGTGATGACCGCTCGATTCCCTCTCCAAGTTGTGGGGGCTGACTTTATCTGGGAGCAAAGCTTGGGGCTGCTCAAGGAGTGACTAGATTCGGTGGGATGCACTGAGCGTCCAGCGGGAGGGCCAAGCTGCTGGTTATATGCCTTCATAATTGTTCCTTCAAATATGCCCCCTTCTGTTGCCCCCCCCCCCCCCCC